CTCTCTCTCTCTCTCTCTCTCTCTCTCTCTCTCTCTCTCTCTCTCTTTCTCTCCCTTTCTCTCTTCCTTCCTTCCTTCCTTTCACCAAGGGTCTCTTTCTGCCACCCAGGCTGAAGTGCAGTGGCACAATCACAGCTCACCACAGCCTTGACCTCCTGGGCTCAGGTGATCATTCTGCCTTAGCCTTCTGAGTAGCTGGGACTACAGGCATACGCCACTATGCCCTGCTAATTTTTCTATTTTTTGTAGAAACGAGATCTCTCTATGTTGCCCAGGCTGGTCTCAAACTCCTGGGTTCAAGCAATCCTCTCACCTCTGCTTCCCAAAGCACTGGTATTACAGGTGTGAGCTATTGCACCCAGTCCTGTGCCTGAGGTTCAGAGCCGAGGCTTGGGGTCAGGCCACCTCATATCAGATCAACTTCCCTGGTTGCTGCCCACCCTGTGTTCTGCCATCACAGGGTCTGGCAGGCTCTGGACACTAGATTCCAAAGCTGGCTTGTCTTCCTCTCTCAGTCCAGGACATCAACGTCTCCCTGTGGCGCTTGCCAGAAGAGGTGAAGTTCGACAAGAGCGTCTTCATGAACCAGGGAGAGTGGGAGCTGTTGGGGGTGCTGCCCCAGTTTCGGGAATTCATGGAAAGTAGTCACTGCTATGCAGAAATGAAATTCCATGTGAGTGGGAGGGATGAGGGGGATGGTGACTAGACCTCCATGCCAGGAGACTTAGGAGGTATATTAAGAAGAACTTCCATAGCTTTTCTTTTTTTGAGTCAGAGTCTCACTCTGTGGCCTAGGCTGGAGTGCAATGGCACACTCATGGCTACTGCAGCCTTGACCTGATGGGCTCAGGTGATCCTTCTGCCTCAGCTGGAACTACAGGCGTGCACCACCACGACTGGCTAATTTTTTGATATTTTTGTAGAGATGAGGTCTCACCAAGTTGCCCAGGTTGGTCTCGAACCCTGGACTCAGGTGATCCTTTTGCCTTACGAAAGTGCTGGGATTGCATAGCTCTTTTTTTTGAGCCCAGGGTCACACACATCTCCTAGAACTTCAAGGAAGCAGACGGGGAAGCTCAACAGAATGTCCCTTATTTATCCTGAAAGCCACAAGCCTGGACTGAGAGGCAGGATATGGAGTCTGTCCATTTCCTTCTCTTAGCAATCCAGGCAGGAAACACCACAAGCAGGGTGGGGAAGGGTGGGGGAGAAGGGAGCGGAGGAAGAGGGGAGAGGAATCTGGGCCTGGAGAGTGGTTCCCGCAGACAGAGCCTGTCTGCCCAGACATCTCCCAAGCTCCTCTCCTGGTCCCAGGTGGTCATCCGCCGGCGGCCCCTCTTCTACGTGGTTGGCCTGCTGCTACCCAGCGTCTTTCTCATGGTCATGGACATCATGGGCTTCTACCTGCCCCCAGACAGTGGCGAGAGGGTCTCCTTCAAGATCACCCTCCTCCTCGGCTACTCAGTCTTCCTGATCATCGTGTCCGACACGCTGCCGGCCACCGCCATCGGCACTCCCCTCATTGGTAGGGCCTCTCCTGGAGGAAAAGCTTGGGCTGGTGAGAAACGGGGCCCTCTTCCACCTCCCGTGTGTGTTTCTTCCCCTGCCCTGGGCTACACAGGTGTCTACTTTGTGGTGTGCATGGCTCTGCTGGTGATAAGCTTGGCCGAGACCATCTTCATTGTGCGGCTGGTGCACAAGCAAGACCTGCAGCAGCCCGTGCCTGCCTGGCTGCGGCGCCTGGTTCTGGAGAGACTCGCCCCACTGCTTTGCCTCAGGGAGCAGTCAACGTCCCATAGGCCCCCAGCCACCTCTCAAGCCACCAAGACTGATGACTGCTCAGGTGAGAGAGGGAAGAGGAGAGTCCCACACAGAGAGGCCACTTCTGGCCTGGCTGTGAGGCAGAGGAAGTCTCTGGAGGGCATGGTATACCCAGGAGAGTGGGCGGGGCCTGGGAATTGGGTGCTGTCTGGACACAGTGCCCCATGTCCAGGCTTCTTGGGAGGTAGCAGACTTCAGGCAAAGGTGTCAGTCGGATCTTTTCTTTTCTTTCTTTTTGTTTGTTTGTTTATCTTATTTTAGAGTTGGGGGGTACCAGTGAACAACATAAGTAGGCTGCATGCAAGTAAGGTTTGGGCTTCTAACTGGTCCTCTCTCCCCCTGGTAGTGGATCTGGTACTCATCGTGTTGCCATGTGCCCCTCCTCCCTCGCTCCCTCCCTTAGCTGTGCCCCGAGACTGTAGATCCCACCCTTGTGCTAATTGACTGTGTTTGGGGCCCACTTATGAGTGAGAACATACAGCAATCAATTATTTGTTTTTGTGATAATTCACGTAGTATGGTGGTCTCAAACTGCATCCAAGTTGCTGTGAAAGCCATGATTTTGTTCTTCTTTATGGCTGTGTAATATCCCATCATGTATATGTACCACATTTTCTTCATCGAGAGTCCAGACCCTTTCTTTGCTTTCATAATATCTCATCACCCTGAGTGTAGACATAGAGGGCAGGAGTCCCAGAGGTTGAGCATATTGGGAGCCGAGCCCTCTGGATGAGAATGGTCTCTTTCTGAGATGCACCTATGAGCGAGGTTTATCAGGAAGTCACTGGCCTCCTTGCCTCACATGGTTAAATGCTGTAGCTACGATTTCTAAAACCCTCTCATTCTAAACAGCTCAAAGACCACATTCCATAGCATTTCAAATACCTCCAAGGCAGAGAGACAGGGGCTCAGAAGGACACCAGATATGGAGCTCATACCTCCTGAGAAATTGTTAGTTACCATTTTGGGTGGTGGTGATAGTGGTTGGTTTCTTGGCTTAATCATGGAGCATTTTGTGTCAGGCATGGGCAAAGGACTTTCTGTTCCTTGTCATGTATAATACTCATGACAATGTAATGGGATTCTCATTCTCATTTTCAAATGAGGAAGCAGAGGTGTAGAGAAGTGAAACAGTTTGCATTAAATCTCAGAGCCAGAAACTGGTAAAACTATGATCTGAACTCAGGTCTATCTGACTCTAAGCTGGTACTTTTGTTTTGTTTTGTTTTGCTTTTTTGAGTCGGAGTCTTACTCCGTCACCCAGGCTGGAGTGCAGTGGCATGCTCATGGCCACCCCAGCAACAACCTGCTGGGTTCAGGTGATCCTTCTGTCTCAACCTTCCAAGTAACCAGAACTACAGGCACATGCTACCATGCCCAGCTAACTTTTTGATTTTATTGTAGAGATGAGGTCTCGTCAAGTTGCCCAGGCTGGTCTCAAACCCCTGGGTTCAGGCAATCCTCTTGCCTCGGCCTCCCGAAGCACTGGGATTGCAGGCTTGAACCACTGTGCCTGGCCTAAGCTGGTGTTTTCAACCATTCTTCTCTACTCCATCATGGCTAGGGTCAGTCCTTTTACATGCGACTTTTTTGTTCATCTAAGACCATCTCGTTATGAGCTGGTGAATGTGGCACTATTTACACGTATATTTTCTGTTTCTTGACTTGGAGTCACAGAGGTAAGGGCAGTTCCTTTCTGCCACCTCCTTCTGAGGCAATATGATGCAGTAGAGGGAGCACTGGATTAGGAGTCCAGATGCCTGGGCTTTGGTGGTCTCGTCATCAAATGATTCTCCAACTATGTGATCACAGGGTAATCACTTAACCTTTTCCAGTTTCAGCACCACCATATAAAAAGCAGCAATTGTAATCACATCCACTGTGCCTCTCTTATGGGACTATTGTGAGGTTCAAATAAAATTATGGATATCAGATTGCTGGGGAAAGCCCGTAGCTGGAAAAAAAATGCAGAGGAAGGATAAATGCCAATGTCATGATATTAGTGATTGGGGAAAGGGTCGAGGATGAGACTAAGAAGGGATCTATGGGTATCCTCAATCATATTGGTTTTTACATTTGTGTAATTTGGATGGTGCCTTTGCAAATATGCAAGTTACTCTGTATACATTTTATGTCTCAAGTTTTTCCTAACAAAAATTTCTGCAGACTCTAGAAGCATAAACGACAATGTTCAGGCCACCCTGCTGGCCTCCCTTATCTTGCCAATGCTCTGCCCTTCTTCCAGCCATGGGAAACCACTGCAGCCATTTGGGAGGACCCCAGGACCTGGAGAAAACCCCCAGGGCCAGATGCAGCCCTCCCCCCCCACCACGGGAGGCCTCACTGGCGGTGAGGGGCCTGCTGCAGGAGCTGGCGTCCATCCGGCACTTCCTGGAGAAGCGGGATGAGATCCGGGAGGTGGCCCGGGACTGGCTGCGTGTGGGTTCTGTGCTGGACAAGCTACTCTTCCGCACCTACCTGCTGGCGGTGCTGGCCTACAGCATCACCCTGGTCACGCTCTGGTCCATCTGGCAGTATTCTTAAGTGGGTGCAGCCCAGCAGGGGAGAAGAGCATCAGGCCACTTAGGGATGGAGAGGGAGGATGTCTGCTTCGGTCCTTAAGCGGCCAGGGGATGGCAGGCACAGTCTCAAGATACAGATTACAGTCCCGTCCTCCATTTCCGATGCTAACTTGGCTCAGCAACCCCAAGCCAGGATCTGAAATCTTCCCTCCCGAAGAGTTCAGGTATTCAAGACCCTTACAACATTTTCCCACTCACAACTGCTCATTGTGGCTTTGAAACATGCAATCCTAGATCAGGAGAAACCCAAACATTTCCTAACTTCACTCTCCGTATCTGTGTATCAAGCCTAAGTTTCCCCTGAATAAAGCACTTTGGGATTCTGCTCACCACAGCTTTGTTTTTAGGTTGAAGTCACACCCAACTCTGCTCCATGGGCCTGATAACTGCACTGGGTTTATCCAACCCCTAATGTGTCCCTCTTCATCTCCTCCATGGCCACTGCCCTGAGCACTCATGCTCTATCAGTGGTGGGATTGGGTGGGGTAATAAAATGCAATGAAGCCCTAAACGCTCTTCTCCACCACTTGTCAGCAGTTTTGGGAAAGGGTTGGATGGACAGAAGAAGCAGTTTAACATCACTGGTAGAAATGAAGTGTGGAAATGATCTGTAGTTTCTTGTAGATGCTTGCTCAGGGAACTGGGAGGTGACCAATGGTTATGGAAACAATAAGAAGTGAAATTTAAGGTGTGAAGGTCAAGACCATGAATGCTTAGCCATGGAAGGGAAAGCTAAGTTCTTCAACCTTCTGGAAAGATTGGAAGGGTCCACACAGTCCTGTTATCATTCTGAACTCATGATTTCTCAGTAAAGCTGGGAGAAAGTTGTCTCCCTGCAAGAGGAGACAGGAATTTCAGCACCATGGCCAGCGCCGATTGGTTTGGTGCCAAGAAACCAAGGATTGATTTTACTGACCCCTTTGGGAACTGTTCTCTGTCAGCCCCTGACACATTCACCAAAGGCAGAACCATGAGGAGGCAGAATCAGCAGAATGGTCTTCAATCTCACTTCTCATATCCTGCTTCCCTCTCCCAGACATCAGGGTGTAAGACATGCAGACGAACACCCCAACTCCATCGCTCCACCCACCTACCAAGCATTCAGAGAAAAGTAATGCTAGACTCCACCAAGGGCACCTTTCTTAGTGTCTGCAGCATGTGAATGAGACTTTCTCTAGTTCTCCCAGTCTCATTCCTGCCTTATCCTTTCCATGTCTTGGGCTACCTGTCACCCTGAGGAAGGCATGGTGGCAAGGGATTAAATGCTACCAGGACAAGCCGGGCTAGGTGGCTCAGCCTGTAATCCCGTGCCTTGGGAGGCTGAGGTGAGTGGAATGCCTGAGCCCGCGGGTTCGAGACCCACCTGGGCAACTTGGCGAGACCTCATCTCTACAAAAAAAAAAAAAAAAAAAAAAAGTGCTGCCAGGACAAAGGAAAGGACCCAGAAGGGATACCTGAGGTGAGTTCTAACATTTTCACCACCCCTCTGTTGTTCTGGACCAGTCAATGATAAAGGATTCAGTAGGGGACACCTGAAACCATATATTCCCTGGGCCCCAAACTCTAATTCTAGTTCACAAACCACCCAGGAGCCTGGGTAGAGGGCAGATCCATGAAACCTTAGGAGCTTCGTGTCTGAAAGAACATAGAGTCCAAGGAAAGGGGCTTATCTGGTTTCGCTTCTTGCAGCTTCTTCTCACCCCAGATTCTCCAGCGTGCGGAGAGAACTCATTCAATCTAACTGGCTGGTTGTTCCTACAGTGAACAGAGAATGGGGCTTCATCATCTAGCTCTACCCCAGACACATGTGCTTTTGATATTTGTTAGCAGGAATTTGTTAGGAATCTTATATTTATTTATGTTGTGTTGGTGGGTAGGGAATAGGATCTCCCAGCAAAGAGTGAGAGATTGCGGGGCTGGCGGGCTGGCTTTCACTCACAATTGTCTCCTGCTGAGTAGAGATTGGGCCAAAGATGTGGATCATTCATTGCTCCTCTCTCAGGGTAACCCCTAAAAGCCAGTCCCTTCCACTAGGACTCGCTTGGACTAGCCATGCTGTTAGGTGATTCTTACGTCTCAAGCCAGAGGGATAGAAAGGTGAACAGTCTGGCAATGTCAATGCACCACTGGTCAGTAAGTGGGTGACTATTGGCAAAGTGTCCAACCAGAGAGCTAGTAAGACACTAATCACCTTATTGATCCTCCCCCTCCCCCCCACACCCTTCACCCACAATCAATGGGGCAACAGAGCCCAGCATCGAGGCAGCCAATTAACCACCTAGAGAATGAACTGCCACATGTAACATCTTCTGCTCCAGTAGCGATGTCCAATAAGCTCATTGATCTAGCATCTGGGTTGTGCTGCCCAGGGATGGGAAACTGAGGTCCAGGACCCGTGAACCCCTCAGTGCACTAACTCCTGTTCATCAGAACTCATCCTGCTCTTGTCCCAAGGAGATCTTTGTTCTACCTGGGGTAGGAAAACACCCTGAATTTCCCTCCAACCTGTTCTACTCCCCAGAGCTGGTCCTGCCTCTCATTCTGTCTTGGGAACAGACAGGAAACCAGAAACACTCATGTCTCTGTAAGAGCTTCTGAGAAGCTTGCCAATTCTCTTTCTCATCTCCACCCTTCTCCTGCAGGCTTCTCTCTTCACCTGTGAATACTCTCAGTTCTCATCTCGCCCCATCTACCCTGCTTCCCAAAGCTGTCACTTCTACTAAAAAAGATTCCATCCAAGGTGTTAGCAGTGGCCAGCCTGAACCCTTCCAGGTCGCTGTGAATTTGTGTCCACCATGGAGCCTGGACATTGGCAGCTTGGGCTCAAGGGATCTCAAGGGTGCCTCCTAGGAATGGATACTCAGCGACTTTCAGGATAGCCCAGACAGAGTGCTGGACTCAGAGGCCAGGACATGGGCTTAGAGGAGAGTTCCTTGAGAGGATTTGGAGGGGGGAAAGTTGCCCCGTTGTGTGAAGGAGTGAGAGGAAGGGCTCTCAGAGGGGTATGGTTCAGCATCCACCAGCCAGATTCTCTTCCCTCCCGCATCTCCCCCCAGTCTCCGAATCAATACATTTTTGAATCTAATCTAATAACAGAGATTTAACTAGGGGATAATGCGTGTGGAGCCGCCAGGCGCTTTGTCTCTTCTTTCATGCAGCAGCTGGGACCCATTATCCGGGGACAATGCCCTATGCTAATCACTCCCTCTCTCCTCCCTCCCAAGTATCTGGGAGGGGTAGTGGGCAAGAGAGGGCAGCTCCTTCCTTGATTGGAGGGGAGTGGAAGGGTGGAAAGGAGGGAAATGAAGTCGAGAAGGGTTTGGATGGTTCCCACAAAATTGTCTTGACCTTATACTAACTCATGGCCTTCTCCCCTGGCCACCCTGTACACCCGGACCAGTGAGAGGTCGGGGGAGACCCACCAGCACCCACAAATAGCAGATAATTAATGATCAGCTGCAGCACCAGTGCCGGGAGTTGGGTAATTTTTTTTTCTTTTTTCTAACTTGGTCCTCTATAATTTAAGCGATCCCATTGAAGCCTGTGATTGGCCAGTCCTGACTGTCATGGTTAAAGAATTAAACTCCGGTTTTAGGGACCAAGAATATTCCTCTCTGAAACAGAAGCCTGCTTCACATCCTCTCTCCCTTCCATCTGGAGGTGGGGAGGTTAGACTATAGGAAGAACTTTCTGCTAGTGCTATTCCTCATACGAATTAGATTGGGTGTTGGAAAGGGAAGGAATGGAATCTCATTTGCAAGAAGTCTTTAAAAAGAGACCTTGGCTAGGCTCAGTGGCTCAGCCTCTCATCCCAGCACTTTGGGAGGCCGAGGCGAGTGGCTTGCCTGAGCCGGCAGGTGTGAGATCAGTCTGGGCAACTTGGCAAGACCTCGTCTCTTCAACGAATCAAGAATTAGCCGGGCGTGGTAGCGTGTGCCTGTAGTTCCAGCTACTTGGAAGGCTGAGGCAGAAGGATAGCTGGAGCCCAGCTGGTCAATGCTGGGGAGGCCATGAGTGTGCCACAGTACTCCAGCCTGGGTGACAGAGTAAGATTCCTAATCCAAAACAACAACAACAACAACAAAACTTTTATCTGTTTAGGAGGGAAAGGGCAGACAGACAACCTGCCTGGTTTTCCTACAAGAATTCTAGATGAGAGGGAGCCCAGAGCACACACATGGCTCAACACCGGCTAGTTGTGAAACCTCAGACAAACCCTTTGCTCCCTCGTCCGTCAATCTTCTCATCTATGAAATGGGAATCATGCTGGTACCTGGCTCATAGGTGTGGTGGGGGCACTGGGCTCCCAATATGGGGAAAAAGCCTGGGGAAGTCACGAGGCTGTGGTGCAGAGACATCTAGTGTCATGTCAACCCTTTTCAGACTGCTCCCATCACATTCTGAACAAGTAGGAACTGCTTGGGGAACAAGGGGACAGTAGAGAAAAGACCTTTACCCTCCTTGTCCCCATTTTAGAGATGGGCAGGGTGAAATGAGCTTGCCACTCACCAAAAGGCGGGCCCATACATATATTCATACATGCATAAAGTTCCTGTCCGGTCCAGGCGGAACCCAGACCTCTGTGTCCCATATCTTGCTGCCCCTTCTCTCCCATGACGACCCTCTCTCCTTCGCCCCTGTACATTCAGAGCTTCTTTGCACAGAGTTCCTCCCTACAACCACCACCTTGAGTTCCTGCTCTGGGACGGTGTATGGGACACTGGCCCACTTTCCTGGGTCTCTCCGATGCAATTCCGTCTCCCGGGTCCCTGTGCCTGCAGAGAGCTACACTCTTGGCAGAGAGATACATTATGAGTATAACAGCTGGGATTATAGGAGCCTGGGAATTCACTTCCCTGCTTGTCTGGGAGAACCTCTACTCAAGACTCAGAAGCAAGGATCTATCTTAGGAACCCAGTGAGATGTCAATCTTTGGCTAAGGGCAGCCACAACCGTGCATTCCAGATGCCATCCACAAGGTGGCAGCAAAGTCCAGAAGTTCTATGGAGGGGCCTTTCTGAAACATTTCATTGCCCCTACCCCCCAGTAAAGACCCCCCATTCCTCTCTAGAGGCCTTTGAAGCCCCTTCCTTCAAGGCCAGCCCTTCCCTTTGGGCCAGCATTAAGGATTCTGTTCCCGAGTGCTTTGTATTCTGTTCTGATGTTCTGGCAGCGGCCCCCAGCCCACTGCCCCCTTCCCCATCATGTGTCTGTGTCCATACCCATCCCTGAGCAGCGAAGTATCCTGTGTATGTGCTCAGGCCTGGACC